TTTCAATTGATTGGGACAAGGCCAAGTGGATGGCAGTTGGTTCCACACAAGCGAGTCTCGATCCCAGTGGATTGGTCTATTTGCGGTTTGTATTTCAGCCGTGAACGATGAAGGGACAAGCCCGTTGTTTGGGACCCTTTTGACCCAAAAACCTAACAAGGTAAAGACGACAAAAAAAAAAAATGTGTAGCAAAAGTCTACAAAAAGGAAAGTTTTGCATCTTTGACTGTACATATTGCTTTCTAACTTGACCCAATTTTTGACATTAGAGTTCCCATTTTCCCCTTTAGAAACTTCTATTTTTAATTTTTTCGGGTTCAAATTAACTAAGCGTTGAACCAAAAATGCATATGCATGCTATCATTCTTAAAGTCACACACACTAAAACGTTTTGTATCTTTTATTTGGCTTTTTCGTGGCCGGGATCTTTCGGTCTTCCTTTCGGTGGAATATCCCTTAGAAGCAACGGGAGATTTAGGTTAAGATAATGTAATGATCATCAAAAATAAAAAACAATTCAAAAAAGGAGGTTAAAGAGTCATTGACACGGCATATTCAGTGCCGAAAGACTTAGAATCCTTAAGAGTGCGTTTTCATACTTATCGACTGCCCGATATTCAACAAGATGATAAATTCTATGATTTGCCCTAAAATTCCTTACTTTGATTGCTTGAAAAGGAAAATTCCAATTTTTATATATTTTTCTTTTCAAACAAATAGTATATTTTTCAATCAAATATTAGAGCATCATTTTGCATGTTCATATTAAACCAAGAAGTAGAGGATTGCTCTTATTAGCAAAAATATAAAAATAAAATAAAAAATTATTAAATGGAGTACAAGAAATATTTCGATTTTATAATTTTTTTATGGGTAATTTTTTTGGAGTTGTGCGTGGCTGTTGGAGATTAACTTGCTTTCAACTTTACTAACCAAGATTAAACACAAATGGTGCCTAAGTTTCGTAACCCGAAAATTATGTTTCCTCGTAAATTGCACCCCATCCTAGAGTTGGGATTCAAATTCCCCCTCTACCAAAATTGTAGTCCGTTCAAAAAAGAAAAGGATTAAACACAAATAAATATTGATTTTCTAAAAAAATATTCCAATCTTTTTTTTTTCTTAAAATGATAACGAAGACTCAAGTGAATTAATTAAGACGTAACGACTAAGGTTCACCTAAAAATTGTGGGTTTGACTTCCACAAATGATGACAGGAGTGCTCTAAGTTTTTCCTAATTTTGTATATTATGCTTAAATAGTCATAAATAGTCAAATATGTATAAAATCATAAATAGTCAAATATGTATTTTATACACTTGTATTGTATTTGTATTGTACTCTTCATCAGAAGAAAACTCTTGTTTAAACCCTTCCTCCATAAAGCTTCGTAAAGCTACATGTCTACCAAGTACTAAGTAAAAGTTTGTATTTTAAAATAATAATAATAATAATAATAACAACGTTATTAAAAGCTAGATAAAAACGACCATAACGATAATGATTTATAATCATATCATGAGTCATAAATAATTAAAAATTGAATCCCCTCTCTTATTTCTCCCAATGAAGCATTCATTTATTATGGCATATAATCATCCTTTATCTTGTGATTATACGTTGATGATTAATTTTTTATATTTTTAACTAATTAAATTAACAAAAAAAATGAAGTGCAGTTTATCTTTATTTAATTATTGATGGAGGAAACAATCTTCTAATATTAAGGGTTTGCTGCTCTATCAATAATTAAAAATAATTCAATCAATGCAAAACACACTACATTATAGCCTTCTCTTAAAACTTTTTTTAAATAGGTACAATTTGAGAGTAGGGGAATGAAAATTCTAGCAACAGTATTGTAACTCAAATTTTAATCATTACTAAAATAGTAAGTGCACCTAACAACTAGTTTATGAGATCTGGTGCTTGCATTCTCTTAAATTAATTTGAATTTAAACACTAAGCAGCTTTTTCTGCCCAAAAAGAGCACCAGGTTGCTTTTATTAACCGTTTTTTAAAAAAGAGGGGTAAAGAGTAATCCAGCGACTCCTTTTTGACTACCCTTGTCATCTTCATCATAGTCATATTTCATATTGCTTTTTTGCGCAATTTGTGATCTTCATTAAAGCCATTCCCATTTAGTTAGTGTCTAAATTATTGACAAATTGTATGTCGATTAGGATTTGTGCTGAGGTTGGCAGTTCACACTTGCTAGTGCCTGCAATTGCAAGATGTCGATCGTGTTACATGTGGGTAATGCTACAATCTCACGTCAAATATATATGTATATATGAATTTAATGTATATCAATCCTGATTTTAAAAAATAATTAGAGTTTCAATATACATCCGAAAATTTAAATTTTATTCTATTAAATGTTGATATCTAAATTTAAAAATCCATTATGTATTATAATATATCAACATTTAATAAGATAATTTTTTAAAATTTGAATTAAGTTTTAATTAAATAAAATAACGTAACTTAATATTAAAACTCTAATTATTTTTTATGGTCGAAACTAATATGCACTT